AAAAGGGGAGTATGAAACAAAGACAGCCCATTAGGTAAATAGAGCACCTGAAGAGCTGCTTGCAGGCTTGCAACACAACCAACCAGGAAAGAAATCCGAGCCCACGGAGTACTCCGATGGCTGATCAAAGCAGACACACCTGAATTGAGGAGACTCAAGTCCATACCCCCAGCTTATACCCCGACAGGATTACGAATGCTTTTTCGTCACCAGGCAGCCATTTGAAGAACAGCTCTGACAATGCTCAAGAACTGAGGTCTGTAACTGAAATGACAGCTCATGGTCCGCTCCGGAGCAAGGCTGCAGTTTTGTCCCTTTGAAAATAACCTGGTCTCCAATAGCAAGTCCTGGGCAAGCAAAACAAAACCACCACCTCCTCAGGATCAATTTATCCCTCCTTTCTGACAACACAGACATAAAGCAAAGTTTAACCCAGCTGACCATTTTGTAAACCTGACTGTGGCCAACAGGCTCTGAAAAGGCTAGGAAGGGCACAGAGAGGCGTCACTGGGGTAATCTCCACCTCTTTACCCTGCTAACAAAGCAGCAAATTCAGCAGAACTCTGAGGAACAGAGACTGCTTCAGAAGAAGGAAGCTCTGCGTTACACAGCAAAGCGGGAGGCGTACAGAGGTGCGTCCTCTCCAAGGGCCGGCACTCCCCATCGAACGAGACGGCAGCGGGCTTCAAACAGACGGAACAAACACCAGCTTAAAACAGAACAGAGGCGATGAGCAGCACAGTTCAAAGCATGTGCGTGGTTCACCCAGTCAACATGCAAAGATATTCTTTTTTCACCTGGTGGCAGCAATTCATACAACTATTATTAGCTATTGCTATTCTTAAGGCATAAGGAAAGACGGATCCTGTGAGTTATGGCATCAATACATCCAACGCAGTTGCTTAAATGCAAAATGTTTTCATATCGTGAAACACAGAGAAAAGGGTACTAAACCACACCAGCTGCCCAACTTCTCACCACACAAACTCTCAGGGGTTCTCTAAATATCAGGGAGAAAGCAAACCACTGTTTGTTTTATTCGTAAAGTAAAATTCCTACAGCTAAAGAAGGAGCTGCCACCTAACCTGCTGCCGGCTGGTACAAACAACAACTGAGCACGCCAGCACCTCCGAAGGAACCGTGCACAGTGCCCGTCTCCGAGCCCGGTAAGTGGCAGACCCACCTAATGCTTCTACAGTTCTTGCTCTATTTAATCCTCACAAAGCAGCAGCCAGAACCAAAGTTCTTTGATGGCGGGATATTGCGTTTCTATTCTCACTTCAGTGATCCCAGCCAAATGCTTTAATAGAGTATCGTCCTTCATTAAAAATGTATTAATCAACTAATCTACCCGTAATGAGAGCTTCTACAAAGAAACAGGCAAATAATAAAACTAGATTTGCTTCCAAAATATAAGACACAGATCACATATTACTCAAAACAGATAGGAAATTTTAGTGGTAACAAGGGCTTGGATGAGCAGATGGAAGCATTTTCTGAACAGCTCAAACCTTCTAGGTAATCCTTACGATGCTTTTAAGAAAAAAAAAGTAGTTACTTGAAATAGCATGAATCAGCACAAACGAGCCAAGGAAATAACCTTCATTCCAAACACTGCTAAGCTGTGGTTAGATTGCCATGCAAATTACATGCTTTAAGCTTATCAATTTCTATAGCTACTTCATACGTCACAATTATATTTACTCCATTGAATGACCCCTTGAAAATAATCGAACACCCCCGAAATTGCATCTTTAAGGGGAACGATTTCTATCAGCCATTTGTTCTGGAACAGACTGACTTCTGAATGCACCTTGCAGTTTGCCACGACCGTGGTAAAGCCCAGCTCTGACAGGCCGTGGGGAGCTCCGACGGCTGGCGGGAGCCCGTGTGCTCCTATTCCCCGAGGCAGCCGCCACCCGAACCGACCGCGCACTACAGCAGGAGTGGGGCAAACCGAATCCCGGAGCAGAAGGCTCGACTCCTCTAGGCCAGCCAAGTCCCTTTGCAGGAGGCACAGCCCACAGCCCATCATTTGGAACGTATCGCCTGCGGCGTGTGCCCGCCGGCATCACCCACAGCGCCGCCGTGACCGGCAGGCTGGCACGGCCCAGGACACACTCTGCCCAGCCACCACGGCCAAGGAGGCCTCTGGCAGCTGACACAGGGCACACCCCAGCTCCCGGGGCTGCTGCAGGAAACCAGAACTGCGGGACGCTCCCACCACGCAGCAGCACAAAGTGGTCAGCTTACAGCCAAACCACTCCAGTGGAAAGCATCACGGTGGAGGAAATCAGCAGAGAAACCTCTCTGCCTGAGTCAGAGCTGCCACAGCTCGACAGTTCCACCTACAGTAACGACCTCCCGGGTCAGGCCTGCCTTTCTGCAGTAAGTATGCTCAAACCACACTTGAGAGCGTAAGCTAATCAAAAGCAGGTAGTAAGGAAACAAACTCCTGACTCTACACACCTCCTTCATCGCAGTGACCCTGGAGAAAGATCTCCCCTTGAAAGTGCCTAACACGAGGTGACTTGGAGCTCCCACCCACAAAGGTTCAAATTCAAGTGATTAAAATACGGCTACGGATCAAACACTTGTGGTGAGGGAGCGCACCTACACATCCCAGGACACCAGAACACACGTCACACCTGGAGAGCCCGAGCTCTTCACCACATAACAGAACCACAAAAGATTCAAGCAGCACTTTTGGAGACTCAGGCTATCGCTGCAACATGAGAAATCCTTGGGGAACCTGATTTGTAAGAGCAGGTCCCAAATGAGTCAGCCTGTAGCATCTATTGCTGTCCTTCACCCGGCCCCAAGTTTTACACACGTACACGTGTACAGATATGCCCACACACGATTTTTATATATAAAGCATATCTATTTTGATTCACTGTAGTACCTCATCTCACAGAAAACATCTACAAAAAAGGTCAGTTCAAGCAATTTGTGACCACAAATCATGCAGAGGCTACTTAGAATTTAGCCTGAATAGCAGGGGTTCATTTCACTTTCCACAAGCACTAGCATCATGAAATTAACATCGTGCAGTACCTGCCCCTCAGAAATAATCCATCTTACAGGGTCTGTACTCTAGCTGAGAGTGAGCAGTATGAGCAGCATTAATATCCACGAGAGGAAGAGACCTGAAGATGGTCAAACTCTAATGAAGAACTGATTGTCTCCTTATCTCCCCTTACCACCGATTCTGAAATTCTAGTGCCAGGATAGAAGTCTGGGAATGGCCCAGTGCAGACACCCGACAGAGTGGCATGCACACAGCTGCAGGCCAGGGCGCCGTACGCCCGCAGCGCCTCGCCCAGAACTTCAACACCACGCTTACCAACTCACCGTGTCTGCAGGGGGAAAGGGAAGGGCCGTGATTGTGCAGAATAAGGGTGCTGGAGAAATAAAGACATACACAAACTTGCGCTGTTATTTCCCACTATATAAAGGAATGGGGCATGTAGTGGCAGGGAATGGTCTGGGCTGGAAGGAGGCCGGTCTGCCACAAAGCTCTGCCTTGGCACAGCACTGGGACAGCCACGGCACCCCTTCCAGCTCACACTGCTGTCAGAAACACCCCCCAGCCTCAGACGATGGACTGAGGGCAGCCGCTCATTAAAAAAGGTGTTCCCAAAAAGGTGGTTCAGCTACGCCTTTTTAACTGTGTGGATCAAGGACTCACCAGATGGGACTACTCCAGCTCCAAGAGATTTTTTTATTGGCATCATACACAGCCAACCCTGTAATATCCACATATCTTTCTTTTACAAGGAATTGACTCAGGTGCCTCCTTGGATGCTGCAGTGACTCTAATTACCTGCACCATCAGGAGGCAAACACCAGTGTAAAACTGTCACACTCTGGTACCGCCAAACTCTGAAATCCTACCTTCTCCATGTCTCTGCAAAGTTGGTTGAAGGGAAGTGACAATTTCTCTAATGAACGTACAGAAGACTCAGCCAAACAAGGTGAGGCACCAAAACCCTGACCCCCCCCTGCAGAATCACCCCGCAGGTGAGGGAAGAGGAAGTACAGCTTGTACCGTTGACAGATGTCCAAGACCAATCTTGGGGAAAAGAAAGAAAGGAGAAAAAAAAAAAAAAAAGCTTAGCATCAGCAGAAGAAAATAGAAACCCAGGGGCACCAGCTTCCGAACGCCTTCTCTCCTAATGCTTCCCATCTCAGGTCTGCCTGATCGCACCACCCAGAGAAAAGCACCTCATTTAAAAAACAACCAACACGCCTTCCTCAGAGAGGGAGCACCAGGATTAAACCAGCAGCCACTGTGTACTCACCTGTAGAGCTGCCTGTTCCAATGTTATGTATGAAAATGAGCACGAAGGACATTCCAATGTAAGTGAATCGATCACTATGAGCCAACCAGGTGATACACAAGGAAGAGATCAACTAGTCACCAACCATTTAACAGCAAATAATAACAACAAAGAGAGACCCGGAGCCTACAGTCCGAGTGGCCTGGGGCTAAGCAAGGATGGTTGGAGGCAGGCCACTTTCAGAAACGAAATCATAATTCTACCCATTATCTGCACTCGGATTTTTCATTAACAGATACGCAGACTTTCCATCATTTAAAGTCCAAGTCAAGACAAGTTATCTTTGCAAAAGATAGTAAAGTTGGTAACCTTTGTTCAAGCTGTAGGCTCGAGCCTACTCTGAAGGGTTTTCAATCTGCCTTTTACAGCCAGGTTGCCTCTCAAGGTTCATGTTATAAACCAGGTATCTTCGTTTTAATAAAGGAAAAAAGAATTATTTTTGTGCACACATAACCCGCATTGTTTGGCGTAGAAGATTTCTGGAACTATAAATAGAGTTATCTTCCTAGGTATTACCCTCCCCCATCAAAACCAGCAGGTATTCTTAACTGTAAAAATTAAAGGTTACTTCCTGCTAACAAGGTTAGAGATTACAGAGCAATACACATTTTCTGTCAGCATCTAAAGTCGACACTGAAGGTATTTTCCTAAACTGACCTTTATCCTGCGCCGTTTGTGACTGAGCCAAGGGATGGCATCACAGGCGTCGCTGGAAGGGCCGGCAGGGTCAGTGCTCGGAGAGCTCCGGCCGCTCAGGAGGAACCCCCTGCATCGGACTTTAAATCAGGCTCCATCTGTAACGAAACAACGTTAGAAAATGGTTTCTTGGCTGACTTCCACCTCATGAGACTATGCGCATGCAATAACAAAAGCACGCTTCTTTCAGGCAAAGAGGGAAATGCACTTGCCTTGCAAAGCTTTCTTAACCAACACTGAGATTCCTGGTTAGCTCTCCAAACCCTTTCATGCCACCTCCTCTTCCTCCTCTCAGGCAGAAAGTCACTCTGGCAACTGACCTGGTTCTTTCCTTGATTTGTTTCCTGTTTTCTCTACACTGCTTATTCTTCCCCCCCCCCTTTTTTTTTGCTTTCAGATGTTGCTTTTGTTTTACATCTCCCTGTGCATAACTGCACACCATTTCATAAACAAAGCGATCCATGGACTTTCTGAAATTGCCCATCTCTATTGTCAAATTTAAAACATAATTGTAATTCATATAAGAACAGGTGAGGAAAACAGACACAGCGCTAAACACACCACTCCAGACTGCAGAATCATTTGTAAGCTTGCCAAAAAGCCAAGGTGCAGCAGCAGCGCTCTGTCACAGAGCACAGCAGCTTCAAAGCACAGCTGAGAGCTCAGGCACCACCAGGCTCCTGGGGATATAATGAGAACCACGTTCTTCACCCCGACAAGTACAGAAACACAGCGAGGTTAAGTGATTTGCCCAAGGCCATACAGTAAGTCACAGACAGAAGGAGGGTTAAGTTTCAGAAGCTCCTGGCTAATACCCTGCATTCAATTACGTCTACAAAAAGCATCTCATTTAACAGAGGCCAGATAAAGGAAACAGCCAAGCAGGAACATCAAACCCCCTCGTAATTAAAATCAATCAAACCCCTCCCCATACTTAAGTGCAGGTAGCGTGTTACACTCAGGCCCAAAACGATTACCTATGGCATGAAAAAAAAACCACAGCAATAAAAAACCATGGAAAACAAGTTCTAACTAATTTAAATAGAGGGCTTCAATGCAAAGCAAGCAAGTGGCTTTGTGAATTCACCATCACAACCTGCAAAGCAAGAGAGTAAACATTCACAGGCTGTCTCACAAGGGAAGAATAAATGAAGAGAACAGTTCAGAAGTTACCAAAAATACGATACCTAGAAGTTAACAATACGGGTCTGGGACAGATGCTGAAGCAACCACACACTAATGTGAACATTAGGAGGAGAACACAAAATGACCAAATCGCACTTGACACCTGAACCAGCCTTTGAAGACAAATTAAAATCCCAGAAACAAACAGAAACCTGTGAGCAAATCCGAGGCAGCAGGGACACTCATGCAGGGAGCCCAAGGACGCCAGCAGCAGCCACTGAGGCGGGGACTGTACAAGAACCAGGGTGCCTGCAAGTCCCCTGAGCGGCCCAGGGCACTCTTGAGCCATTCACATCCAGGCCCCCCACCACACACACGAGATGAAAGGCACTGCACTGTTACTCATTACCAGAAACTATTTATTGCCAGAAGCTCCCTGTACAGTACGCCTTCTTCGGTTTCAAAACGTTCAAACGCTGACATTCAAGCCAGCGGTGAAATGCTTCATTAGCTGCTCCACTTAACACAGACTTTAGGAGAAGAGATGCTATTTAAGCTATAGACACAAAGCCGTAGGAAACATAACCGAGATACTGATTTTTCAGGGGGTCAAAAAATGCTTTTCATCTCCCGGGTGAGCGACCAACGTCAAAAGTAACTTTTCCTGTACTTTCTGTGGCAGAATTCTGACAGTTCCTTAACATGGGCACTGCCCGTGCTGTAAAGGCTGCATGCACACTGACGAACGTGCAATCGCCCACAGCCACGAACCCTGCCTTCACAGGTATTGGGGGGATACACAAAGCCAGAGGCAGAGCAACCAGCCCAAGCCACAAAGGCAAGCCGGTAAGCCGGCGGTATCTGCCAGAGCTCGGGCAGAGCCAAGCTGCGTTTGTTCCCCGTGCCTTACCTCTTTCCTCAAGCCGAAGTTTCAGACCGGGGAGACTCTGGTAAATGTGACGGGCAGGCGCGGCGCGTCTGCCTGGGTGGGAGGCTCAGAGCCCGCGGGGTGCGGATCGCCGGTGCCGAAACGCGCGGAGCCGCGGGGCACAGAGGGGAGAGGAGCCCGGGGGGAGCCCGGGGGGAGCCCCACTCCGCCG